GGATCTGTTTGGTTTTTACTACGGCGTGTCAATTTGGTTTGCAATAAATATTAAAATTGTGCTATTTTTAAAGGATTTCTTTGACAATTAAACGCTTATTGTAGTTTATTTCAAGAATTCGCAATGAGTTTACTTCAAGCTACGTAAATATCCCTAAAATAGATCCCAAGTAAAAAATACTGAAGAGGGCTGAAGGCTTGTTAGAGGGTGTGTATAATTTCATTAGGCTACAGGCACCAGTGTGTCATATTTCTGCCCTCATAAAAAAAAAGCTTTCGTGTAAACGTTTTAGAAAAAAAAAATACTGTTTATATCATATTCTGATATACGATATATTCCAACAGAAATACTAGAAAATCTTGAAGCAACATGAATATGGTTCTACACAGTAATTTTTATATCATAGACAGGACATGTACATATTAGTATGTGAGGGATGATTCATTTTATGTTATATCTATAATTCTTTACATTATTTACATTGCGATATTCACGCCGTTTCGGACGTTTTACTCTCCATCCTTCTTCAGGTGATTGGAATTTCGAACTGATCCTTTTAATTCAATCCACGTACCATGCCTCTTCCGAATTGTTCAGTTATATCCCTTCAACTCATGGTAATACTACTCATATAATAGCTAGGAATTCATCTCCCAAAACTTTGGATAAATATACTGCATCTGACCATGCTTTTATCCACAGGGCCATGTGTCCTTGAGGACATCAACGTATGGATTTTGTGGAGTTATAAACTTAATGTCTCAATTTTTTTTACCTGAGCTCATATTGCAATTTTGTTTTTATAGTTGCTTTTCGCTATCACTCCGTATTACTGTTTCCATATTGTAATCATTTCTATGCTTGGCCGGCTCAGGAGATTTTTGTGGCCTAACATATGGGCTGATTTTTCAATAAAGACTGATATTCGCCAATTCTATGCATAATTCTATATAAAATAATTTCGGTGGTTTCCTGTCAGATTTAGGGGAAATACATATGACTCTCTGCTTCTCTTAACTATTACTTGGATACTTTATAAATAAATAATGGATGTAAACAAAACAAAACTCAAGGGAAACACACACACACACACACACACACACACACACACATATATATATACATACATATATATATATATATATATATATATATATATATATATATATATATATATATATATATTATAAAAAAAGAAAGAACAGTAATATATATAATCTGTTGTTATTATTGATATTTTTATTTTTACAAAACAGTGCTCAATGGAAATTTACAGAGCCTAAATATTATAAATTAACTGATTTAAAATATGGTTTCTTCGCTACACAGGAATTACCATGTTTTGAAAACTGAAGGTAAAAACTTCAAATTTAATTATATAATTAAATTAAAAGCATCAGTTGTGTTTCATCTTCAAGCCAATTTTGGAATAAATTATTTTTAAATTTACTGAATTTTAAACGCACATACAATTCATATATTTTTTGGTTCCAAGGATACAGAGAAATCCAATCATTTAGACAGGAGAGGTATCGTGTTCATTTTTATTAACTATTATTGTGTCAATTATGAGTTACGTTCGAAAAACAGGTTAAGTCTAGGTATAGTAGGGGTGCAATTTTCAACGAATTTTGACATCCATTCAACGCATGTCGTCTGGTTTTCTTTATCAACGAGAAAATGTGTTTTCTTTTCAATTTTTTTTTTTAGAAAATATTATTATGGAAACAAGTAGGCGTCATCACATATTGGTGACATGGTTTCTGAGACTAAAAAAAATGACGGCAATTTCATGAAACGTATATTAACTCCCAAAAACTTTCATTGATACCTAATATTTTCTTTGACAAAATATATATGCAGCCACATTTTTTTTATTTTTTAAAATAAAAAAAAAATGTGGCTGTACATGACCCTATAAACATATGGTGTTAGCAGTCAACGTATTAAGGAAATCTAACGGCATATCAACCTTTTTTTTTTCGAATAATACAAAATCCCAAATAATTTTTTTTTTTAATTTTAATACAATTTGGGAAATGCTAATGATTTGTGAATAGATATCCTAATAATTAACTGATAGGGTATGTGAATATAACGAACACGACTAGACTCTTCGACTCTTCGATTTTCAATTCCGAACCGTTAACAATTACACCAGCCATATATCCAAGGTGACAGCAGCTGGTATTCTAAAGGGATCGCTCATCTAGCTACTGATGTGGCTCAACGTCGCATATCTGCGTCGATCCAACGAGAATCGGTGTTTCAACAGGATTTGGCCTTTAAGCCAGGAAATCATAAACTACAAATAAACACACACACACACACACACACACACACACACATATATATATATATATATATATATATATATATATATATATATATATATATATATATATATATATATATATATGTAAGCAAATATATTGATATAGATCCGACAGTATGAAGAAAAATATATACATCGTCTTTGTCATGTTTTATTGATAATGTTATAATTTATGAATATGTCCTGAAGATGGTTTATTAGACCGAAACGTCCGACATTGACATATTAACATTAAAACAGTATAAATTGTATATAAGGATTTTTTGTTTGTTTTTTCCGTATATATTTTTTTCATATATATATATATATATATATATATATATATATATATATATATATATATATATATATGTATGTCTGTATGCATGTATGTATATATATATATTTATGTATATATATATGTATGTATATATATCTATGTATATATATATCTATGTATATATATGTATGTATATATGTATTTATGTATATATATGTATGTATATATATATGTGTGTATATATGTATATATATATGTATGTATATATATATATATCTATGTGTATATATATATATATATATATATATATATATATATATATATATATATATATATATATATATTTAATAAGAAAAGAAGCCTGGGAGATACTGAATGCCAGAAAAATGCTGGAAACAACAATATACCTAATTACTGTAATTTTGGGAACAGAATACATAACTACGACAAAGAGGATGATAACCTTTCGAGTTTAGTTTTAGAGCCACAGTACTAATACACAAGAAAAAATGCACAGATTTTAAATATATACTTAATATAAATTTCAAGAAATATTTACAAAATAAGAAAACAGTTTGACACACTTTCATATCATAGAGACATCGTCTTTTGACGTATCCTTGAAATGATCTTTTCGATGATTTTTTAAATAAAGAATACTTTTGATAGACACTAATACATTTCTTGCTGTAATCTTAGCATTCGTTGGGGTGAGAAGTTTGCTGACCGAATTGAGTGTAACCAGTTGCAGAACAGTATATTTTGAAATCTGCCTTATTCTAACATATCTAGTGGAAAACCTATGATGCCTAATGTCTCTATTATTGATTAATTTTCTCTTTTATTTCTGGGAAATCATGTTTGACCACATTAAGGATGTTGTAATGTTTTACGATGCTACCCAGAGACCGCAAACTAAAACCTCGGCTACCAATCTATTATCTGAGTTTAAGAAATGTAGAATTATCTGTTATTGAATTATTCCAAGCAATATACTCACGTTTGTCGTTTTGTCTGCAACATTACAAGGGTCAGTGAAATCTTTGCTATTTCTGCAGCTGTATGTTGCGTGCGTGGCCGAGTGGATAGAATGATCTATTCGGAACCCTAGTACACGGGTCCGAATCTCGTCATATTTGATTTGGCGAGGAGACTGCTTCTTGATGTGTTCAGCCTGAGGAGGTGATCCCAGGATGCAGCACGTATGGAAAATGCCTATAGACCATACTATAGATAGACCTAAGCCTTTTGAGTGAAATTGAATAGACGTAACGATTCAGAAGGCATCGGATGTTAGGCTAAAAGAAATGAAAAGTTGTCGTCGTATTTAGCATACTGGATTATTATAACTGTAATCATGCCAGATTTGCCTCTTTACTCCAGAAGCTGTAAATACGAATCGCTTGGCATTGTTGCTGTATAAACCACAGCTACCCTCTGTCGGCGTTGATCAAACACAAATGTACCTGAGAAAGCGTCTTCCACAAGGATTAGCTGTGTTGTGCTTGGAAACAAGCAGCTGGCTATTATATTGCATAATAAACACGAATCTATCATCGAGGATATACAAAATGGCGCAGGGAGGGAAACATTTATTGGTTCGGTAACTGAATTTCGCGTGCTGAGTTCAATTCTTGCTCGATTTGATTTAGTTCACATTGCGATAATGCACTCGGAAAAGGCCTGTGTCTACCTATCTCCACCTATGAGTTAAGTAGCAGGGTAAGTTGATATCTCTGACATTGTAGAGATAACCAGTCTAGGAGAAGGTACAATCTGAATCTAAAATCAGCCTGAAATAAGACGGATTCCATCAGGATATCATGCGCAGGACACAGTACTGTCCCAATGACTGCAGCATCTCTGCAGCCCTTTTCTTATAAATTAGAAATTGCGAACAGACTAATAAATAACATCTCTGTTCAAAAAATAAATTAAAATATTTAAAAACGCTAATGATAAAAAATATAAATTAATTAATTAATTAATAGTAACTATAAATAAATAAAGAATTTAAATATATAAATATATAAGAATGTATAAATTTTGATATATGCGTAAAAGGAGTAAACAAAAATAAAAAATAATAAAAAATAAAAATGAATGGGATAAGTGAATAAAATAGTTTAATAAATAAATGAACCCACTAATATTTATTTAATAAAATAATTAACAAATTAAATGCATTTATTTATATATGGATGGGCTAATAATATGCTTACCGATATAATTGTTAAGTATAGTTTTAATATATGTAAGTATATACGTATTCCTGTAAAGTATACATATAATGAATTATCCTATTATTGTCGTGTTTATCTCTCCCTTTGTTATTTCGCGTGACTGTTACGTTCTACCAATAGCTTAAAAATAATGATTGCGTGGAAAGAGTGGAAAATAAACTACTTGGTTGCAGTAGGAAAAAGAAAGACAGAAAGAAAGACAGAAAGAAAGAAAGAAAGACAGAAAGAAAGAAAGAAAGAAAGAAAAAAAGAAAGAAAGAAAGAAAAAAAGAAAGAAAGAAAGAACTGTTTAAAGTCTTCTGTAAATACCTAATAAATAATGATCTCCTACGTTTTGATTATGAGGAGAAACAAAACATATCAGACACGCTACTTGGTTTTAGGGAGAAAACGAAAGATAGAATGACGGAAAGAAATGAAGACAGACGTGTTTATCGTCTGTTTCAGTAAAATGGTAAAAATTCTCAATTTCAAATCTTTTCATTTGTATCATTTACTTCTCAAAATAATGACCAGCATGATTGTTATTTCAATATTTTATCAACGCTGTTATTTTCAATTTTTTAATGATGTGTTATATTTATTTTCTCCTGATATTTTTTGTCGCATAACTCGTCATCAGCTTTTTCAATCATTAACTGACGAATTATGATTAAATTTTCACGTCTTTTTTATAGTTATATATGAATTTTATTTTTTTAATCTTTTCACTCCATGCAATGCGATAATGCAATTAGGGCATATGAGTTTAGTGGGAATTAAAGAGAATGCATTTATTCTTTGCAGATTGTAAGTGTCAGTAAGGCATGAAATCGGTACTGAATTCTACAGTCAGATCTAGTAGTCAATTGAGCACGCTTAAATTTATGCAGCAGAGGAACCGAAGAGGAAAAGTTATCAGCCTAATTACAACAAAAAATATTTATAAAAAAGAGAGGGAAGCTATGTTACGTCGGTGCGAAATTAACTGAGGTCTTTTGAATTTTGTCAAGAATTTCGAGATATATAGTAGGAGAGACCAAACCAGATATGGCAGTAACATTCCGTGCTCGGACGGACGGTAGATTTATAAACGTGCAAGATAGATTCTAGCGAGAAAGATTGTGTGTCACGACATATTGAAACAACTTTCAGAGAAGTAGACGTAGCAGTTGATTCAATATATTCTTCCTACTTCAGGTCAGTTGAAAATGTAAGCCCGAGTAGGCTCAAATAGTTACTGCCCGGAAGGTTAATACTAGCCAAGCTAATTGTAGGCAGAAAAAAAAGTTCTCTATAGTGATTTATGAAAGCAGTTTTGCTTTGGAGATGTTAAAATTTACAAGCCATTCCATTTCCACTATTAACCACTGATTTGAGGTCTTTTTGGAGAAAATTGCCTGTTTTAAGTTTTACTTTGTCGAACATTCTAGCTTGCTACTAAGCCAGCAGTTAATTCTTGTGTCATCCCCATAAATACTTATTTGGGGACTGGTAACATCGGGAAGGTCCTCAATGAAAAAATGATAGGACCGTGGTGTATCCACGCATAAATATGAAAACATCTCAGAGGCGTGGCCGTTCAGCACGAATTTCATTGGACGATTTTTGGGGAATGATTTGGTTAAGCCAGATATTCGTACAGAGACACTTGAGCCTGTGGAGAAGCCAGTATGCCAAACTTTGACAAACGCCTTTGAGATTTCTAGGCGTACAGCCCGAGATTCAGTGTTTTTGTCTAAAGCTTCGTGCACAAATGCAGTGATGGCTGTTAATACATCAGCAGTAGAGACAGAGCAACGTAAGCCATATTGATTATCTAAAAGAAGGACGTGTGAAGTAAGATGCTTAACCAATTCGGCGTTAGTTATAGCGTTTATTACCTTGACACAAATAGATAAGGAACTAATAAGCTGAAAATAGAAAGGGGGCAAATATTTCCACAGAGTACTTAAAGACAGAAACTACAGAGGAGGACTTCCAACAGGCTGGAAAGCAAAAGGCAGCGCGACATTTATTACAATGTTTTGAGAGAACAAGAATAATTACAAGAGCAAGTTCTTTCATACAATTTCAAAGATAACGTCAAGTCGACAGGTTTAAAAATCATAGTAGAATCCATGCCCGAAGTTATGAGCACATCACTCAGTAGAGAATCTGTTTTAGGGGATAATCAGGCAGAATACTTCAGCTGATTTGGTAGTGAGGTTTGTGGAGGATTTCCGAGCAAAACATTTTGTTTTATCTGCAGTAAATGACAAACTAATTGGAGAGATGAGGAACTAGGGATTTTGTATTGTTCTTTACATTCTTACAGAGCCACTAGTAATATCTGTAACCAAACTACTGAAACGCTACTTAGTGTCTCATTCTCTCAGCGAATAGTGACTTTGCAAATTTGAGGAGACGCTTTCTCTCATTATGTTATAATCGGATCTGTCACTCGATTAGAGCTGGAAGAATTAATCCCTGTGGGCTGTAGCGGCTGGACAAGTGGGAGAGAATGAAGGAGAAAATTGTGGTTTCAATTGATATTTCCATACTGGCATGAAAGCTTCAATGAGGACTTTCAATTAGGACAATACCACAATAGAAAAGACCTAAAGACACCTTAAAGAAAACCAGTGAGTTGATAACATAAATATATCCTGTTAATAGGAGGTTCTAATTTAAGGGATAGTGATCAGATATCTACAGACACTTCAAGTAGTTTGCTTTTATTTTTTTTTAACTTTACGGCATATCAAACTCAATGGGTTATTTAATACTGAGAAAATTTTCATTGTTAGTAATATTTTTTCCTTCAAAATGTCTATTTCTGGTAAAATTTTTTCCTTCAAAAATATATTTCTAATTTTCCTCCGCTTGTAATATTTGTCTCTTTTAAAAAATGTATTCCTGATAATAATTCTTTTACAAAGTATTTCTGGAATTAAAACCTATTTTTAAATTTTTGTAGTTTTTGGGGTTAACTATTTACGCATAACTGGGACCCTAACAGGTGCTACCATCCCGGGTCAGGGTGGACCTGGGAACATCAGAAATTAAGATGTGTTTCCAGGCTCCTCGAAACCTCCTGATCAGTGGCCTTGCTGATAAATGTAGTTTATCGTCATACCCAGGACGGCTTCCAGTGGTGGGAGATTTCAAGATGACAGAGCTGCAGAACACAACATGAGTCTGGAGAAGAGGTGCGGTAGATATCAAGTTGAGACGTGTGTTCGTCCGAATTACCAGGGAAACACGTGGGGAAGTCTAGTATTTGGGCGATAGATTCAAAGATTAGATTGCATCAAGATCAGAGGACATAGAAGAATGAAGCCACTTAACATGATTCGGATTCGAAGTCTGAGAACAAAAAAAATATATATTTGCATACGTGTGTAGACAGACAGCCTCAGCTACAATATAAGAAATTCTATTTAGCTATCACCAATCATAAGAAGAGGGAGAACGATAAGGGAAGAAGAGATAACTGTTTAATAGTGTGTTATACCTGACGTAACTATTCTATTATTAATAGACTCTCCCACACATAATAAGTAGTAGTAGTAGTAGTAGTAGTGGTCGCCAGTTGGGTTCAGTGGTGTTGAGTGAGTCAGTCGATGACGGACATTGAAGTATTAACCATCACAACTAGATTGCTGCGTCATTAACTCTTATTTCAAGTTCCTAACGTTTTGTACGTCGGACCCCCACTTTGGACCGACTTAGCGAAATACAAGCCTCCACTGTGAAAACTAATCTACATTAGCGAAAGTAGGAAGTATATTTAAGAACAATCCTGAGACCCAAGAGAGTGTTGACTTGCCAGTGGGAGATATTCGCGGATTTAGACACCGATGCCATGCATATAAACACTTGAATACATTCAAAAGCGAGGAAGGTAGCCAGAAACAGAAAATTCAGTGGAAGAGATTGAAGAATTTAGATTAACTTCACAGAGAGCAACTGATGTATGGAGAACATTTGAAGAGAAACGATTATTCACTGCAATTGGTACGAATACCAAGAATCCGTGAGAAAAAAAAGTTTGAGATGCTTAGCTGCTTTTTTTCAAGCTGATTTAGTTTTATTTAGAATATAATCAATAGTTTTATGCATTTCCTTAATTTAAAAGTATACAACATTAACATATACATCAATAATATTTTTTGCTGTTGTTCATCTATATAAATTCCATTTGAACAACGGTAATATAATTTCATCATCAAAGCTGTTTCGGCTTTAAGACTCAATACGTGTGAATTCTCATCTTCAGCAATTTTGTAACTAACTGTTATCAGTCATCTTCAAACAATTCTCTTCTTTAATAACTCTCAAAAGTTCTGCAGGTTTACCAAATTCTTCAAAGTTTTATGAAGGAATATAATTACAGTTCTTTTAATGTCGATTTTCACTATGTATATCATAGTTGTTCGCGGTCTTCTGCGAATATGTGCTGCATTGATCACCTGAAGCAAAATAGCATTGTTTTATGAGAAGTAGATTGCGCATCTAATCGCAGCTAATGTCCTAATAATTTCCATCGTAATCGGAGGATATCAAGAAGTGACATCAGGCATGTTCTGCATCTTTTGTACAAGTTGGAATTGCAGATAATGTGTGGCCATATTTTGCCAATTAGGCGTTTTATCTGTTTTCGATGGAATGAATCAAATTTTTCTCACCATTCCTTTCCAAACACCATGGTGCACAATTGTAAAACAATAATGGTTTTAATATCAATTGTACAGTTTCAATGAACACTTTGAATACTATTAGCTCACCTTCAAATTGCTCTGTTTATATTTGATTATATTCTCAGCATCTATGAATGAATTACCAATTTTCTTAACATTTATTCTTCCATCTGTATTTCTATTTCCTTTCTTCAGTAAGGACTGCTCGATTTTATTCTTGTTTAACTTCATGTCTCTTATAAGAAACACTGTCTGAGTTGCATTCAAATCTACCCACGTCCCCCTTTCACTGTCTGACGGAAAGTTTATAAAATCTCCAGAGATTATTACTATGTTTGTTTTTAGCAATTTGGCAGTTTGGTATGTGGGATGTTCCTGTTGTCTTCAATTTCAATACCCCTCAGACAGTCATCAAGATAAATATTGAAGGGAACACCATTAGCGCCATTGCATTGCTGAGATCTTATGTTACTCTCGAACTTTTTAGTCCCAACACCTGTAACTATGTTAGATATGTATTACTAAATAATACATTCACCATTTTGACTTAATCGTAACATGTTACTATTAAGCTTTTGAAAATTCTGATGAGATCTCGAATTATATTAGGTTCTCTCATATGAAATCACGGAATTTAT